TTTGAATGGAGAGCTGCCCTGGGACAATCATTTAAGTGGTCTGGTCCATTGGCACCAGAAATCACCAGAAAACTTTGAGCCAATATTCATGTTAATTTAATTGGAGTCACATGGAGTGTGGTGGTGGTGGGGAGACAATAAAGCCCCAAAAATCTTCTATCCAGTTTCACCCAGTTCTGTGACTATTTTCAGGCCACAGTACCATCTGAATGTCACATGAAAAATATATTTTCCTTGAGCAATTATCCATTTAAGTGTGAAGCACAGCGCTCAGAGGCACACGGTGAATTTCTTGTAAACATGCAAACTGCCGTGTCCGATCCCCTCTTGTTCGAAGTGGGGGACTGTGGGTTTAAGGAAAAGTGCACAAAAGAGATGCTGATAGTAATCTTTCCCTCAAAAACAACAGAAATGGGTAAAGATAATGTATTTTATGCCGGGAACACAACTCCACGGACTTGCTGCCATCCTGGACATGGATGTGAGGAATCCCATGACAGTTCCCTCAATGATTCAGATGTTTCTTCTTGCCCAGACCTGCTGCTTCAGTAATTCACAGTATGTGCACTGCATTTACTCCCGTAGGTTACTGACAAGCTCCGACTCACATTCGCCGAAGTCTACGTTTTGATGATCACTGCAGCAAAAGGATTGCTGGCTCTGCCCTGGCCTTCTTTCTGGCTAATGGAAAGTTTTAAATCCACCGCAAAATCAAGATAATGCTGCGTCCAGTAGTTCCACGAAATGTGACATTTTAGAAAAACAAGTTTGGTGTCTCAGCCAACAGCAGGGTCAACAATACAGCATGTTTCCTAGCACACATGTGTTCATGGTGTCAACTTCCTAACAGCTGTATTTGGCTGAACAACATAAAAAAGCTTGTGCCTCAACAAAGCATTTTGAATACAGTTAATTAAGATTTGTTATTTCCAGCAAGGAAAAGCGTACTGGAAAATTCACTAAAACAAATATACTGTAGCTCAAAAGAAACATTTCTCAACTAGATGTTTAATTAATTGTGTAAAAGTGTACTCAAATAAAAGTACAAAGTAGGTCAGTCTAATCTCAAAAGATTGATTGTTGTTCACCATTACACGCCTGGTGTCTATTGACTTTATGTAGCTATGTTAAGTTCCATAAATCAAATAGCTGATACTTGCTATAGGATAAAGCAAAAGAACAAAAAATTAAATCTCACATTATAGAGAAAATACCACATTGCTTGGCAACACAGTAGTTGTTATTGCAATGTTGATCAATTAAATGGCACACTGTGTACCCTGTAAAATATAACGAACAGACTCATCCTCTCTGGTGTCACTGGGCTCCCTTCTTTTAAACACTGCCATCAGGAATCAAAACGAATAATTCAAAAGTGGTGCACAAAATTTTGAATATAAGGCAGTTATCCACCATCTGTATTCTGCATTAAACGTGACATGCATGTATCATGACAGGTGTGTTGAAGTTGGTAGGAGTGAAATAACAGATTTATAAAGATACCCTAAAAACTACAAACTACAAAAACTATGTTAGCACATCAATACGAGTAAACTTGTTAATTCCACCTCTGGTTTTGTAAAGGTTGTTGCATGTGGATTAAATCCAGATTGTATCTAATACCCTTTAGTTTACACATCTTTGCATTTTAGCCTGCAACAAATCTGATGTTAATACATCTTGGTTTTCCAACCTACATTTAAATAAGAGGTAGAGCTCTCACACTAGCAACTAGCTTTCCTGACAACCATTCTTAAACAAATACAACCATATTAATATGTTTGTTTGGCTCTGTCTATTTCTCGAAAATAGCCACTAAAACTGTGTTAAATCATACGGCTGATGTGTGCTTCAACACAACTCCATAGTCCAGGTTCTTCGTTTCAAAATGTTTACTGAAAAATGTCCTCTTCAAATACAAAATCAAAAAGTACTTCAAACACAAGGTTGAAGTCATCAGGCTCCGGACAAAAACGCTACAACAGTGCAGGGCACCTTCTGTATGATTCAAAGTGTCGGAATTACTGGCGCCGACTTTCCTCCGCACAGCCGAGAGACTGACGGCTGCTTTCAGTGCAATTTCAACATCAGCTACGGTCACAGACTTGGGAGGAGTAAAGACTGAATACTGCTCGTCAGTGTTGAATGCTTCTCACATGGATTTACACACAGTATTTTTGAGAGAAGTTTTAAGAAAGAATAGTAAAGTAAAACTATATTTTAGCTGCTTTGTGAATCAATCATCCGTCAGAGAGGGAAAAAGACAGTTTTTTGTTGTTGTTGCACAATCAGACACACAAACACATTGAGCGTCTGTGCGTAGAGTCACCTTGATGTCTTTAAACTGGTGGAATAATATCCTGACAATCTGTTGCTGCACACTGATATATTATATTGCATATAATCGCTCAGAAGCATTAACATCTGTCAATTCTTTCATCTCTCTGGCACACTAACACACAACCGCACACACACTTTGACTTTCAGTGACTGCAATTATTACATGACCTCAGTGCAACCAACACCTAACCCCAACCATAAACACAAGTCCTCGTCCTAACTTGTACATACAGAATCACACAACATCCTTAAAGAGGACGGGTAATGGCTGAGTGTCCTGCCTGGGGACGAGTCTCCTTGCTTTGAGATTTGATCCTGCAATCAAGCATAGAAAGCAACAGAACCGCAAACACATATTGTCTCATTATCACTCTGCCCGCTGAGCAAATTATCGCTCACCGCCCACATCTGCCAGCCTGTATGTCCACATCATAAACTACAGTGAGAGCTTTTATGACAGCGATTATGGCAGCGGGAGGGTAAATTAATTTGTCTGACTAGATGCAGTTTCACGGGCCAGGCGCCTGATTTACAAAGAGATCCTTATTCATGCGCTTGGATCTAATAACCAAAGCAGAGGGGAAGAAGTTGAATGAAAAGTCAAAGATTGTGTCAATGTCACATGAAGTGCTTCATGACATTCTGACAGTCTGACATGAAGCACTTTTGATTCTTGTACAAACAGGTTTGTCCCATTTAAAGGGAGGTGGAACAACATTATCAGCGCCATTAAGATCATCGTCTTGGAATTTATTTCCACTGTTGCCACATTGAGCTGTTTGTCTACTTTTCCTTTTATAGGTAAAACTGGTTTTGGGTGGATTGCTGTGCTTTTCTCTCTCGGTTGATGAAAAACTGTAGGCAACGTTAAAATGAATACACCATCACTATCATAGCTTAGCATAAATATTGTATATCATTATAATAATAATGATAAAGACGATAGGACTGTGTCCACTTTAAGTACAAGAAGAAATTGATGGGGGGTTGTATTGTGAATGCTTAATTTCTTTTTGTACTCATATTCATCCACAGAACGTAACAGGATGAAAGACAACCTGTCTAGATGCAGGTACAGATAAAACTGTATGAACATTTTGTGTCACAATTCTAATTATGTAAAATATGCTGAAAATGAGTTAAAGTTAAATAATAGCATTATTGAAAATAAAATTAATGTAATACCGTATAACATATAACCAAATTACCATGGTAGTGAGGGTAATTTAAAGAGTGAAACAGTCAGGACTTTTACCACAGCATATTTTGGGACCAAAAAACCATTTCAAAATACTGTCATATCCCAAGTCAGACTTAAAAAACAATTATCCTTTCATAGATATGGTTTTTTGGAAAGAGCAAAATATTTTGTCCAATATGGAATACAAATTTTACCACTGAATAGTTTTGAGGATTGGATTGAGACATTTGTTGTCAGTCAGATCTGAAAACTGTAACTGTGTGTGTGCAACTTTTCTGAGCCACTGATGGTAAGGTGACATTGCCACTGAACAGATGCCCCCCCCCCATCAACAGCTGTATCATTCAGCCGTAACCCTGCTGATGGAAACAAGTCGTCTCTTCTTGTTCAAAGCCGTCTGTTGCCCTTCACTCTTTTTCTCCTTCTCTCTCTGAAAGACATTTAAACCTTTACTTGGTGGGAACTTTTACAGGAGATGCGGGTGTGTGCATTGGATTGCAACATTAATAATAACTTCCCATTCTTCCATGAGACACTCATCACCACCTGCTTATCTGTAAGGGTACCATAATTATGCTGGGTGACACAGAGGAAAATTATACTGCTAGCTCATGTTGATGTTTGACTTAAGCATTTTTCTTGAAGAAACGTTTATTAGATTGGACTACAAGCTGGGACTGATTTCCCATAGCCTGGTTTTCAAAAAAATGCATCCAATAAAACATTCAATATTGGTTATAGCTACACCGTGTCCTTTCAACTTGAGGTCATGCATTATGCTACCTTATATACACAGACACATTCACAACATGTGGCTGGCAAACAAAACCACAGAGCTACTGATTCAAGTTTAACTGTCTACATTACATAAATCCCACCATTCCAGTGGGTTTTCCTTCAGTCAGTCAGTCAATAAACCTGTTGTCTGTGGTTTATGGTTAAGCAGAGGTGGCCCATTTCTGCCAACAGTGGGGAAACCCCTGTGCAAGTCAAGAAGATAGAGTTCTAATAATTGACGGCTGAGGAGACTTCAAAGATTTCTATTGGCGGCAGATTTTTGCAATAAAAAGTGCAGCAGAGAAGCCAATTTACAACTTATATGTACAACTCTTCGTCCATCTTGTGTTGCTGGTGACCAAGTTATTGTCAAATTGAATGGTTCTGACTTTGGTTGACATGTGGTAATCTTATGGCATTGTTGTGGTCCCGATCTGGCAAACAGGGGTGGGCCGGCCATCATTTCATGCGGCATGTGTGCCGGATGTGGGATGTGGGCTGAATCTGGGCCAAAACAATTTTGCTATGTGGGCAGCAGCTGTGGTGCTGTGATCCAGTCTTTAACTGTGGATATTTTACATACAGGCCCGAGGTCACTGATACATCGACCATTAGAGAAGGAAGGAAAATTAACCAGAAGATAAAATAGGTCTTAACTATTTGTCTCTCTCTGTCTTTTCAGATCTTACAGGTGAATCTAGTGATGTCCATCCTGCTGTATGTGATGGTCCTCGTGTACCTCTATGGTATCCAGGCAACCAACATGGATAGCGGTCACCAAGGGCAACAGCAGCCGAGTCCCGACACTTTAAACTCACTGATCATCCAGCTGCTTCAGGCTGACCTGATGAGAGGGAAGACCAGGGGGAACCAGAGCCAACAGGGTAAAAGCAGGGACACGGAGCCCCGGGACATGCTGCCTCCTCTCCTCAGTGCAAACTTTCCTTTAGAGGACCAGGGTGATGTGGAGAAGTGGGGGAAATGGAGTCGCAGTGGTGGGAGCAGTGAAGGTACGGTGGACCAGCAGGTAATGCTGTTGAACTCGGACCTGCTCAGGCAGCACAAGCGGTACAACTCACCTCGGGTGCTGCTGAGCGACCGGCTGCCACTGCAGCCGCCACCACTTTACCTCGCCGATGACTTTGTCAGCAGCGGACCAGAGGGCGGGCCGGTGGGAAACAAGACACGAAAGAAGCGCTATGCTGAGCACAAAAGCTACCGCGGGGAATATTCTGTGTGTGACAGCGAGAGCCATTGGGTGACGGATAAAACCCAAGCAGTGGACACCAAGGGGGAACGGGTAACTGTTCTGGCTAAAATTAAAACCAGTGCCACGCAAGAAATTAAGCAGTTCTTTTTTGAGACACGTTGTCGGACCCCAAGGCCCTTCAAGGGTGGCTGCAGGGGCATCGACGACAAGAACTGGAACTCGCAGTGTAAGACGACTCAGACGTATGTTCGGGCTCTAACGCAGAGTCACAATTCAGTGGGCTGGAGGTGGATACGCATTGACACTTCCTGTGTCTGCGCATTGTCGAGGAAACGTCGTAGGACGTAAACTAAACAACACAAACTCACCTGTGGACTACCTGTTTGGAATTTTACTTCCTAGAAAGGATTTTGGTTCAGTCCTCGCCACCACAGGACAATGTGTTGGGCTGGTAAAGAGCAACATTCTGCTATAAAGTGAGACTATAACAGAAAAAACCTTGGGTCCTTTTAAATGATATTTCACTTTCATGTGCTGCAAATCCACAGACCCGTGTGGCACTGCTGTTAACTCGTTTGAGAGGGGTAGGGAAGGAAGGAGCGAGTGTGTGGGGAGAACTGTACATATAAATTATTTAAATTATATGAAATGCATGTAGTTTATACATGTTAATCTATCTATATATGATGTATGAATATATTTGTGTTATTTATTGAAAGAAGTCTTTTTCAAAAGGCAAAAAAATGTCTATAAAAAAAGAAATCAAACAAGCTATGAACTCATTCTGAGACTATAATACAGAGCTGGGATTCAAAGGTGCTTCACAATAAGACTTTACATGTGCCTTGAGCAGTGTGACTGCAGAGCAGAGAGATAGGACGTTGTAACTCACAGACAGAGCGTTTGTTTCAGGGGTAAACAGAGCTGCAGGGACCTGTTCTGTCCTGCAGTCCAATGTGGGGCACAAATTCTAAGCATTACCACTCAATGAGACCGATAACTATATCATAACGTATAAGGAATACTGTGACCACAACACAGATCTGGAATTTGTGACCAAACCATGTACCCTGTGATCACAATTGACCATACTGTTCTGCTGTAATACTTCCTATATTCATTCATTCAACTCTGGGACACTTTGACAAAATAAAAGCAGAAATCGCTCCTGTGGAATCTGCTGAGAGATTCAAGAAAATCCTTCTGTTTGGTTTTCCTCAGGCCACCTTGATGCTGTTCATCACATTTTAATCTCAACTGGTATCATGAGCTGTTTGTGTGTCTTCCTATTAATAAAAACCTATATTTCTTAACGTTGGACACATTTCATGAACAAATGCCAATTTAGATTTCTAAAAGAGACAAAGATTGTTGGTTGATACTATATTACACTGCCTTAAGAAATACTACAGTCCTTTAAGATATTTTTGACCAACCGCCTACTGCACACTGCTCTATGAGGGAGCATGTTGGGTGAAGGCTGATGAATTTTCTAATGATGATATTTTCCAAATATATGAGTTGCACGGCATCAGCCATTTGACATGTCCCCTGATGTGTTAGAAAAGTGAGCTGGGTCTAGTTATCATCACCTTGCTGCTGACTTAAACTTGGATTTCCTAAACATCACTGGCTTTGTGATCATAAGACTTTTGCAGTCAGTTTGTCATTGCCTTTCACATGTACAGCAGAGAATACCCACAAAACTAGAATATGAAGTTTCCGCAGGACTGATAGAGGGTAAGTCTGGTGATATTCTGTACTTTTACTATTGTTGTCAAATCAGACAAAAGCAGTGGTTCTAATAACAAGTACTGAATGTTCAGCATGAGACATCTTACTCCTCTTGTGCCACAGAGCTCCACTTTTGGTGTAAAACAATTCAAAACACATCAGGGGGCCACACTGTTTCACCAGCTGACATGTTGCTGCTTTACCATCAATGTGGGCAGTATAGTTAATTTTTGACTAACTCCCAAAATACAGCATCTGTTAATATCAAATCTGTAGTTGAAAGCAGACCCTAACAAATGCATTGTTTGTTATTGTGCTGTACTACAAAATATATATATGTACTTTACATGTATACAGGATTATATACCGCATGTATAACACTGGGCCGACAGGTTAAGGAAGTTAGTTTTTAACAAATATACACATAACCCCTATGGTTCAGGGTGAAGTTAGAAAACGTGTTCATCCATACCTGGTTTATCCGCAGTGAACACTTTATAGTAAATGTTTTTCCTCGAATTAAACTACATTTTCTTCATGTTTGTTCTCACGGGTGGCACAAAATTAAGCACAATAAGTGCAGATGGCAATTTCTTCAAAATATTGTCCAGTTGTGTTTTTCAGTCTTATATTTAGGGAATTCCAGGGAGTCCACTGGACGATTGACGGATGATCAGAGGTTTGATCACTAGTCATTCATTCTACTATCTGATCAGATGTTTCAGTTATCAGGTAAGTTGATGCACAGAGTGATGGCTTAATGAGGCTAAATCTCTATTAAAATGGGGTCAGTGGTCAACAGAGGTGGGGTGGACTTTGTGAATTGTAGAAAGTGGAGAGAAATGTGTGTGTGAGGCTTTATGGACCTGCAGACTTCAAACTCCCGGCTGCCTCACGCCTTTCAACCACATTGCACAAAGCTTTGTTGAAACTACAGGGCAAAAATCAATTATGTGTTGGACTAATGCAGAACGGATGCAGGAAGTATCTAGGCACTTCTACAACGGCTCCCACTGTGTGCAGCACTTATGCAGGACAAATACAGGAAGATCTTATATAGCTGCAGTATTTTGAGTCAACATGTCATTATATTTGTACTGTTCATCTACCAATTCATATAAAAGATTCCAATCAGACCTGAGATAGGAAAAAGAACATGTCCTGAAGAACTGTATAAAATATGGTTTATTTAATGTAAGGCATAAAAAACCATATCTGTGGTGAAAACCATCTGAGAACAGAAAGACATGAAGAGTATGCAGCGAGACCCATCAGACAGAAAAACAGAACAATTAAACAATCAAATTAAGCAATTCCCAGAGTACACAGTGAGACACAGACTGACCATGTGCTCTGTGATTGACAGAGGTACGAATCGTCATTGTCAAATTCCTCAGGGGTTACTGCGAAGCACCGAGACGTGTGTGCATGTGTGTGTGTAAGGAAAAACTCTGCCAACCAGAAAACGGCGACAATAAAGCTTTCAGTCGGAGGAGTGATACATAACAGAGGACCGCTTGCCTGACAGCAACACATGTCCTGGGTTACCACGAGGTATGCGTCGTCCCGAGGAACAGACAAAGCAATGGTGAAGACTTTTTAAAACAGATTCCACAGTGTTGTTTAAAATGGACTGATCTTAAGGAATAAAGACATCCCAGTGTCAGTGAAATGGCTACAGGACTGAAAAAAAGGGATGCTGCACTTGTGTTTTTGTTTTTTTCAAACCATAATGAAGAGGAGGACTGGTAAGTATTTGTTTTCGTCAACTGATTTTAAAGATAAAATCTGCCTTTGAACACTAATAAGAGGCCTGCTGCTAACTTAGTCGCCCAGTGTGATCTAGAGACAACGTTTGTTGTGTTTGCATTCATCCTTCATCGTTGGTCATCGGCCAAACATGTGACACCAAGTCCAGATGTTTCCAGGGGGCCTGTAGCAACCAACTTTGACTTATCCTGGATATATTTTCTTATCAAGGATCACTGAGCCAGTGACATACAAGATAGATAATACATATAGAAATACGTATATAATGAGATCACATACAGGGAAAAAAAGCAGTTGAAATATATAATTATGATGTTATAAGAGTTATTGTGTAAGGTGTGTGGGGCAGAGAGAGAGGAAAGGTGGTGTTAATACTATAGTTATTATAAATATATGATGTAATATAAACATGATTATAATAGGAATAATAAACCAATATGATATGTGATATAATACTGTACCTCTCACCATAACAAATAATAATATTATAATACATCATATAATTATTATTTTATACCCTATAATACAATAATAACCATCATAATAATTAACATAAATCTCTATGTGGTAAGGTGTGACACCAGGAGGCCAGACCGGCCTGGATAAACTATATAAGGCTGTTAATCAGCTGTCTGAGTTAGAAACGCTGATACCTGCCAGTAAATACAGCTGCAGTGACATTCAACCAAAGTTAAATTTAAACATTATGTTCACATGTACATGAGTACAATAGCAAATAAACACACAAAATATGTTTTGGAATTTGAAGCCAGGCAGGAGGATAAAATTAGAATTTATCAGTGGGTTTACTACTGAGGATTTTTTGCATTTTGCTGATGTTTAACAAAAGTTAAGTAATGTCAGACTCTTTCTGCTTCCCAACAGAGAGAATTAATGAATGTCTGATGAGATCAATCAGAAACTAATGTTTATTTATAATCAATGGAAATATTGAGTGCATGGATCATTTTTCTAATAAAATACATCAGATGGTTTAGCTTTCAGTTTCATTTATCGTCTCCTTATGTTTTTATGTGAGCTGCAGTGAACAAGACAGAGAAAGCATCAACACTGTCAGGAAAAAATGGAGCGATAATATTTATTATGTATTTATGTGGTGTGATAATCTCTCCCTCCATTTATAAGAGGTTCTGTTTTAAAACCAGAGTGGACACATGGAAAGTCTGGAGCAGAAAAACGACTTCACTCAACATTTGATGCTCTCTGCGATCCCTAACTTTATTGTAAAGTCTTATGTCCCCATCAGGATCCTGTATATCAACAACTGGTTTTTCTGGTGATCTGATTGGTCAGTGGTTGAGCGACTGACAGTTTTGATCTGTTATCACGAACTTAACCTGCACCGGAGTAAGTAAGTGGTTCCGCGTAGGTTACCATGGCGATTTATCTCGGTAAGAAGTGAACCAGCCACGAAAGACTGAAAACACAGAGGTAAACCTGAAGTTCTCTCAATGACCATCATGTCTCGCCCCATATTTTGAGTCAACAAAACGAAAAGTAAACCTAATGCTAAAGCTATGAAAGCATCAATGTTCAGGAACATATTAGAAATGTAACAACAAAATAATTAAACACAACCACAACCGGTAACTACAGACGATCCTAAGCCTCATCTTCCTCATCCTCATCATGCACTTTGCTCGTGAGAGACAAGGCCATTCTACCCCTTGTTCTTTATTGTGAGAATAAACAGACAGGTTCATGTTAACCTGCATTTTCACAGACGGATTTTAAAAGTCTCCCTAATGTTCTTGCATAGTAGTAACTGAAAGGGTGTCACAAGAGGGTGGAAAAAAACTGGCACTAGAATGGTTTCCACTGTGTGTGCAGAAAACTCAAAAGTAGGATTGTATTCTGACCGACACCAGAACTGTTGTCTCTGTTGTGCTACAGTGCAATAAGATAGAGATAACAAAGATATTACACACAACTTATCACAACATGCATCGGTAAAAATATACGAAAAAGAAAAAAAGCATAGTTTAAACTAATGAGGACGAACCTGTTCTGTTCATAAAGGAGTTCAACGCTTTCTGAAGTTTTTACCTGGCCACATTTCATTGCTTTTTAACAATGACAGGCACAAAGCTGTGCAGGGATCTCAGCCAAGTCAGGGCACCCTTCACACTCCAGCTCAAGTCATGAGGTCATGTACAGCTGATTATCTCCCCCCAAAGCTTGTCACAAAATGTGACAACATCAATTAGACCTGGCATGATTAGCCATCACCCCGCTCTGCCTCCAAGTAACCCCATCAACTCCTCTCCAGATTGTTTCCTCCCGCCTGGAGGTGTGATCGGACAAAACACAACTACTTAAGCCTTTTCACTCACACAGGTACAGGGCGGCGTTTGATTTGTTATTATTTTAAAGGCAGCTGAGGGGAAGTGGCTGGAGGGAACAGCAGAATGTGGCGTCTCTAATGACCCAGGGGTTTTACACAGAGGTAAATCTGACTTAAGGAGATGTACATACATGCAGAGCTGGGATTTGAGGCAGTAATCTCCTATTCTAAGAGGAGCTTACCACTTGTCAGGCTGCAGAGGAGAGCAGATCAGCAACACTGCCTGAATGTGTGCTTACATTTAAAGTGATTTAGGCAAATTTCTGTAAATGATAGAAATGTAACCCTCGGGTGGACTGGAACTTTCTTATCGAGATTGAGTAAGAGAGTAATTACTGAAAGAGAGTAGCTGGAGTTTTTACTTCTGTACTTTTGCCAACGTTCATTAGTTTA